TAAATATATACATATGTCGGAGGTTTTATTGTAGGCTGTGCTGCAAAAAGCTTGTGGAACCTTGACAGAGTGAATTAATCTTCCCACTGCTGCTGTTCTCACAAGCTTTCCTATGTTTTATATATTTTACATTTACATTTAAGATGGTTTCTGATGAAACATAATGAGTGGGGGTGGCAGGGGAGGAAGAAAGGAGGAAGGCCACAATTTTACTTCTGTTCCCTATGTAACACCTACAGTAAGAGGAGGAGGAGCAAGTGTCTCACCAAGGTCAGGTGTTCAGGTTTTTTCCAGCACGTCTGGTGCTTGTGCATCTGACCAAAGGGGAAATTTAATGCGCCATTCTCAATTTTGGATGATACACTACAAACACAAACGAAGCAGGAACAATGACAGGCTGGCCATTTCATCCTGTAATTTCCACATCTGGTCTTAATTTGATTTTGGAAAGTGTAAAACCGGAAAACTCTAGACAGCTGTGAGGTGGTTTACCTGTGATGACCGCAGCTTCAAGAGATGACTGGCATGTGTTACTGGGCCATTACTCATTTTTACTTTTGATGGGCCTCTCTAGCAGTTATAGCCTACACAGGTTACACCAACCTCCCTGCAAATGAAACATCTAAAGGGCACCAGTTTGGTGAAGGCTGGGTAATATTTTGGAGTCCAACTCCCATCATCCCTGACCACTAGCCATGCTGGTTGGCAAAGATAGGAGTAGGACTCCAACAACATCTGGAGGGCACCACATTGGGGAAGGCAATTTAGATCACACACATATATAACCACCTCTTTAAATACAGTTGTATTGGTTTCCAGGTGGTTTCCAGTCCCAATTTAAGGTGCTCACATTAGTGCTTAAAGCCCTAAATGACTTAGACCCCAAATATCTGAAAGACCCTTCACCTTCCCTCTTGGGTGCTAAGCTCAGCAGAGGGGGGCCTTCTTGGTTGTTTGCCTCCATCTGAAGATTGGGGTGGGTGATGGCCTGGGAGAGGGCATTCCCTCCCCACAGAGGTGCATCTGGAAACTTCATTACACAGTTTTCAGTGGATGCTGAAGGCACACCTCTGCACTGTGGCCTTAAAAAACCCCTATCTTGGGACCTGTTGCCCAAAGTTACCTATCTATTCTTGTTTTATATTTGGCTTTGTTTACTTTAGCATGACTGTGAACTTTCATGAAACCTGAATCATTTCCTCTTACCTGTCACTGTTTTCAGGGGTGTGTGTGGGTTTTTCCCCTAGAAAGAAAATCCTTGCAATTTCTCTTTCTTTTTTTGGAAGCCCCCAGCAAAGTAATTTGCATCATGAACTTTCTGAGCGTCTTTTCTGAAACTCTTTTGGCTTGATTTGTATGTCAGCTGCCCTCCGGACCGCCTCCGTGGAAGGCCTCCTGCGGCGGGTGTGATTGCTAGGCTCTCGACAGTAAGATTCAAACTGTGACCAAATATCTGAGGAAGGCTGAATTGGTACTTCCACCTTCTTTTTCCTGCTGCGATATACAAAATCATTTTCCATTGGCAAAACCCATCCACCCTAAATAAAAATCAGGGTTTGTGATTAAAACACACACGCACACAGCAGGTGGCAAGTGATTTTCCATTCTCTGTACCATTCTAGCCTCACAGCTAGTTAACACGCCGCCTCATCTTCTTTAATCATGATTTCTCTTTTGCCTGCCGGCCTGATTTGCATGATGGGCCATGACTTCCCTGAAGGAGTCTTGAAGTGTTTTCAAACATCTCAAGTCGGAGCTCTCTCAAGAGAATCTTCCTTGTTTTGCTGGACGCTTTGAGAATAGTTAACGTTTCCTACATCACAAGAAGAGCCATGTTGGGAAAGAGGAAGCCAGGCTTTGCTCTTAAAAATTGTCCCAAAGCTTCTTTTGGTATGAAATGTGGCAGACTTCCTCACAGATTCACCTGTGCTCCAGCACCTGTGCAGACTTCCTTATTTCCTTTTGGGTATTGCTGCATACACTGCCTTTTGACTTGAAAGGCTTTAAAAAAAAAATCAGTGCACTCCTCTTATTCACTTAGGGGTGGAAGGATTTGTCCATTTTGGTTCTGTCCATTTCTCATTTTTCCAATCCTGAATTTAGATTTCTATATTTGACAGAAATTTGCCATTTTTAAAAAAACAACTATGAAAATTCATCAGAATTTTAGTGTGAATTTCTGCTGATAAACAGATGTTTATAATCCAGCTTTGACTAACGTAAAATTTTTTTGCAAGCAATTTCACCTAATAAAATTCGTTTTTAAATGCTATTTTTACTAACATGCTCATTTTATTCCCTCTTTCCCCTAACATGCATTTTTGTAAACTGTCTTTGGTTGGATCATAAAATCATAGAACTGCTGAGTTGGAAGGAATCCTGTGGGTCATCTAGTTCAACCCCCTGCAGTGGTATCACAAAATTTAGATAAGTGCGAAATTTGAAGGATAGCTGTGTTTTGGTTTGCAGATTGTTTCAGAAAGTGCGAATCCAATTGATTCGGCTTTAAATGCATACTGGATCAAATTTCTTCTCCTTACCTCTCTTCAGTATATCCTTGTTATGAGTGAGTCTGCTGTTCAGTTTACATCCCACTTTTCTTCCAAGAAACTCAAGGCAGCCTACATGCAGTAGTAGCACATGTGGTGAGGTGGAACCATGCAGGCCTCCTCCCTGCCTTGACACTGGCATTACTGCTGATTACCTGGACAGGGCTGGGGTGGGACAGGACCTCAGTGAAGGTTGCAATTGTGGGGATGCAGTGGTGGGGATGTCCCAGCCCAGTTCAGGTAAGCAGCAGTGATTCAGGCATTGGTAGGGCCACTCTACTCCACCACAACACATACACTGCTAATGTATACGTGGTTCCTTCCCGTGCCCTGTGTGATCATCACAAGAGCTCTGTCAGGGAAGTTAGGCTGTGTCTGTCTGAGAGTTGACTGTGTCAAGGTCACTCAGTAGGCTTCGTGGTTGGGTGAGGATTTGAATCTTGGACTTGCAGGGTCCTAGTCCAATACTCTAATTATTAGACTACACTGGTTCTGTTTATTTTGCAGCAAGCCTCTTCTCCCACCCTCAGGAGATCAGGAACACTTCTCCATCCATAATTGGAACTCAGTGCAGATGTTTCACTGAGTGATAAAGTGTGTGTGTGTGTTTCATTGTTTGGAAAGGCCTGCGGTTGCAATATGGTTATTTCTGTAGTAGATTTGTGAAAGCATTTCTTTTTCTGCTTCTACCCGTGTTTTTCTTTTTTGTCTCGCTGCAAAAGAATAACGCTTGTGCCTTCCAAGACGTCATATGGCCTATTTTGTTAACGGCACAGATCGCATGCTATTCAGTCTGTGTCAGTTCTGTTTTCCAACCTGACACTTCATTTAACATAAAAGTTCTGCCTGTATTAAAACTTCATGTACACAAAGAGCAGATCAAATAAATCTCTGGCTCTTGGTTTCATATTTGTGTCATCAGCTCACTTTTGGCACTAAGTTACAGCATACATCTTAATTTAGAGGCCTGAACTTCAGCAGCAGCAGCGGCAGCAGCAGCAGCAGCGACAGCAGTTCCTTTCCGAGAATGCTGTGGGGGATTATATTATAATGAATGGAGGAGGCATGCTTGGTTTTTCTTTACAGCACAACAGCAGAGCACCATTGCAGATCTTTCTTTACTCAAGAGAAGGAAGGCTATCAAATGCTCAGAGCACAGGAGACCCTTTCATCTTGTTTTCTTTTCTGGTTTTGCTCCACTGATACCTGTGGGTCTTTGAATCCCTTCCAATCAGCTGTCTGTCAGGGCTTCAAATCACTGCATCACCTGATGCATTGTGTCACTGTGACATCAGGTGATTGACAGGTGTACAAGGGGTGGGGCCGTTGAGGAGGTAATGATTTAGCCCACGAGCCAAGTCCAGTTACCCACCCTGGTGTATAGGATTTTATCTTTAACATTCTGCTACCTGAGCACATAGGTTGCATTCAGCAGAATGTTGCATTTGCATCAAGCTACTTGGAAGTGGGGATTGGTCATGATTTCCACACCTTGATCTATGGAAAGAATGGATGCCGGGGCTGATTTGTCTGCCAGCATTTTAAGAGGGATGTTCTCAGAAAAGGGTTGCAGCTCAGCCTCCCTGGCCCATCTAAGGATTTTGTATAAGGCACTTGTAGTACTGCTTGTATCACGGTGGCTTAAAAGACCTGAGCTGTAATCCTGCTATATCCCTTTTCAGAAAGGAGGAAAGAATTGTATACACATATAAGGGCACTATATGTTTTCTTTGTTTCTTAAGCCTTGTATAGTAAACCCTAATGTCGTTGTCTTTCTCGTTGTGGCTAAATCTTTCAGGAGACTAGCTATGGTGATTTCAGAACTGTTTCAAATCCATTAATAACTTCCAATCCATTAGGTGTTAGGTAGAGCTGGAGTTATTTGTTCACCATATTCATCTGTTTGAACAATAGACTTAGCAATATTGGATTTTCTCCACTGTCATTTTATTGCCTAGTTTACTCAGTATTATGCAGGTTTTAACATGCAGAGCAATATTACAATGCATACACCCCCACATATATTTGGACTTCACTGGTCAAGTGGAGGTTAAAGAAGAAATCAACTAAGGTGTTGACTTACTAACAGTTAACAGTAGATCACTGGCCACTATTGCTGCTGTTGACATGTCTGTTTCTGAAATTGCTTGTATACTCACAAACTCATCACAAAGCGTCAACGGACAGCTGCTCAGCTGGTACCAAGTTTTTTAAGCAACCTGTTCTAATGGACTACCGCCTGTTAAATGCATGATTAATGAGAAGAAATATCTTGCATAGAAATTAGGAATATTATGGCTGTGATCCAGGGAGCCAGTTTAACATTCATAAATGCTTCTGATTTCCAGCACCAGATGGTCTTTGTCACAAGCCACTTTTCAGAACCCTTCCTTGTACAATGTTGTGACCACTGTACTATACCAGCTGTTACATGTAAATTTGATTGCATGGGTCATAGCTCAGTAGTAGAGCACAAGCTTTGCATGCAGAAGGTTCCAGGTTCAATCCCCGGTATCTCCAGGTAGGGCTGGGAAAGATCCTTGTTTGAAATTTCAGCGAACTATTGCCCTTCTGTGAAGACAATACTGAGCTAGATGGATGAATGGTTGGATTTGGTGTAAGACATCTTCCTATGTTCCCAATTTCTAAAGCAATTTCTCAAGTGCTGCTGGAGCGGTGATGGAGCATCAGCAATGCAAATGATATTAAAAGAACCCATGAACTTTTTTCAAAGCACCTTATTCACAGAGTTTTTGTCATGTTATTGGCATTACCCTCCAATTGCCACTATATTTTCTGGACAATCACTGTCACACTTCAGTAATCGCACATTCTGTCTATCACAGAAGTCCTGGATTAAGAGATCTCGATACTCTCTTATCTCTGCGATGCCTCTCCCCACACCCCTGGCACCATAGAGAATTAACTCCCAATGTAGATTTCACTTCCTGAATCAGGGAAAGGTTTAGTAAAACTTTTGAGGTACGTAACATCTGCTCTGCTTGACGTATACATAGCATGCTCTAGGACATTGCCAATTAAATGTCATATTTTTCTTTTTTATATAAAAGTAAAAACAACAACACCAAAAACAGTTCAGTACTCATTCCACTTCTGGCTTAGAGAAAGAAGCACATTGCAGCAGCTGCATAATCGAGTAGGTGTTACACAACTTGTCTTGTCAAGAAAGGATAATGTCATGGAACATTCTATCTTCCTTTCCTTAGTAATCTTCCCATCTGTTATTGGAGTTGTTTATGCATTGGAAACAAAAGCTAATCACACAGCTCGGGTTTGAACACACTTTGGGGGGGTGGTGATTTTCTCTCTCTTTTTGGTTACCACTCACATTCACTCTGATAGAAAAAGGACTACCTTTTGCAAAGCAGACTGACTCATAGCATGAAGAGTCATGTCTAAATGAGCACAATTTGAAAGACACTTATTCAGAGCTCAGTGGGTTTTCCTTATATGCTTAGAATTCAACTGCCAAATCCTAAAATTAGTAGCTGAGTAAAGATTTGTTGGATTCACACACACACACAGACACACACACACACACACACACACACACACACACTCTCACACACACACACAGCATGAAGATGGAAGATGTCAGTCTCACTTCTCTGTAGGCATCTTCATTGTTTGGATCAAGCAGACCAATCCTTCCACTTGAGCCAGCGCAATTGGCCTCCTGTTGGCTACCACTGGCATGACGGTTGTGTCACTCTGCTGACAATACCTCCCCCATCTGCCCATTGGACAGTTAGGTGGGAGGATCACCAATGGTATTGCCGCCAGTGGAACCCAGTGGAAGACCCCAAAACAGGGCATTCCAGGAGTGGAGCAGTGCTGAGCCAGTCCGGAATCCCCTGGATCTTGGGTTATTTTCACATCTGCCACCAGGCCCTATCACTGTGCTGGCCTGGGACTATGCCTGATCTGCCTTCCCCACTTTCTGCTGTTGCCACTGTGAGTGGCTAGGCTTTGGATGGAGCAGTAACACCTACTCAGAGTCTAAGCAGTGACAGCAGCAAATTAAGATTCATTTCCTATCCGTATCCTTCTGTAGACCAAAGATCTGTCTTTCTTCATAGCTTATCTTGGAGGATCTCACAGCAATCCTGTTAATTCTTTCTCAAGAGATGTACTCCTTAAATGTTTATTTGCCTACGTAGATGCTTCATCATTTTAGGTCTTATAATCATAGAGTTGAAAATTGATATCAACGGTCACCCTCCATGAATTTGTCCAACCCTCTTTTAAAGACATCCAGGTTGGTGGCCGTCTCTGCCTCTTGTTCCATAGTTTACGCACTGCATGAAAAGGTAATTTCTTTCACCTGTCCTGAATCTTCCAACATTCAGCTTCACTGAATGCCCACAAATTAGGTGACAACTCTTCAAATACTTGAGGAAGGCTATCATCTCATCTCTTTATTGTCCTGTCCCCAAGTACCAGCTCTATGTGTAGGTAAGGGCATCTGAAAAGATCTGATACAAATCAGCTGCATGTTACAATTGTCTCCAGAGTCACACAATTGTGAATATCAGCTCTGATTAAACAATGTGGATTCAAATCCAGAGGCATGTATGCACCAGCTTTTTATCGCAATGCTACTGCACATCTAGGGGAACATGTCGATCCGCGCCAGTTGTGTGGGGAACTCTCTTTTGCTGGATGAGGACACCCTTTTTCTGTCTGAGTGTTGATTGAAATTTTAAATGCAAATTTCTGTTTTAAATACATGATTTTGTAAGAAGCAAGAAAATATATTACATACCTTACATACATGTAAGGATTTTCCCCCCAGAGATGTAATGCTTCTTATGTGTTGATATAAAGAATAACAGAACATTGTTATTCCAGAACATTAAATCTATTGATTTTCATGAAAATAAATTTTAGTTCATGCTTAACAACACCCATACAAATTAATTGGATGTAAACGTGTTTAATTTTGACTACATTGGCTCCGCAGTGTATTTTCAACCTCCCAAGTTCAGAGGTGGCAGTAAGGGAAAAGAAAAGCCTTTGGCTGCTCAATAAAACTGTTCCATCGTTCTATCCGACAGACTCTTAATAATGCCAGCGCATTTTTGAGATGGAAAAGTACCTTCAAATATTTATAACATTGGGAGCTTCATAATAAAAATAGTGGCTGATGTGTATTATCTTTTATTGGGCTTCTTAACAAGATATGAAAAGACCAGAATACTAAGTGCCTTGAAGATTACACTGCACCCTCAGTTTCTTCCTCTGGGAGTAGACTACTTACATGTTTTGACAGTTTAAATGTGAAAAAGCAAGTAGGGTATATATCTAATATTACTAAACAATGCCTCACTTTCTCCACCAGCTGTTTTCATCTTGAGAGATGCATGTGTACTGCATTTCAGTTTTTATTGTCTTTATTGCCAGAAGAAGAAATGAAAGAATTCTAGTGTTCATTGGTTTGCCTGGATTGAAACATACAGAGTAAATAAGTACCCAGTGGCAAATGCAAGTCAGTAACGGTGACAACAAGCTTCCTTTTCAAAGGATGCCACCTAATGCCCTGAGGGTCTGCACTGCAGTGATCCAGAGTAACTCCCAGAGGAAAATAGGTGATTAATTTCTTTAACACGTGTGTGACCAAAGAGGAAGTTAGTCCAGAGTTGCCAAAGGCACTTTACCACAGTCAACACTAACTCACTGCAAGTTGTTGCCAATCTAAGGTCCAATCTTGTATTGGCAATCAGCCTCAGCTTGTGGGGTCACAAACCCTTTGGTTAAATAAAGGCTCTTGAGGTACCCACTAGGCTCTGTGTGTGAGCTGAATAACAAGAAGAATTGAGGCGACTTTCCCTATTCTGAGTCAAAACACAATGTCAGTAACCATCCCAGTTGGGTGAGGCTGTGCAGAAGGGCTCTACTACTAATTTGTTAGTACTACAACTATTGTTGCACACCACCCCAATTTCCGACTGGTGCGAGATTCTAGGGGTATCCAGGGTTCATGTTTCCTTTTGGAAATGAGGCTTAGTAGGTTTCTTTATGATATCTGGTTTATTTACACATATATACTACCTGAGCCTACAGATTTAACATCCCAAAAGGGTCACGTTTCTCCCATAGCCGTAGCCATGGATTCAAAGAGATATCAAACATTGCTGTCTAACGTTGCTCTCCCTCTGTATCTCTGCGGCTTGCTGCTTTCCTGCTAGGTCACATCTCTTCTAACTTCTAACTCTTCTAACTACTGTAAACTCTGGCTTTATCTGTTGTGGGAGGGCCCCTCGCACACATATGCCGTCTCGCATGAGCCCCTTTGTTCTCTTAATTGTTCATCACCCAGGTGGCAAGCCTGGCTTGAATAGCTTTTAACACTTGCTGGATCCAAGCCTTGATTAAATTCTAATAATTACTGGAGCCAGGAATTTAGAGGGGTCTGGCACCCCCAAACACATAACATTATAAGAAGAAGCGGATTTCTAAAAAAAGAAAGCTTAAAGCCTAATTGATAATTCTGGACTTTGGACTCTTTAGATGGGAATATGTACTGCATCATGTACCGTATTTTTCGCACTATAGGACGCACTTTTTCCCCTCCAAAAATGAAGGGGAAATGTGTGTGCGTCCTATGGTGCGAATGCAGGCTTCACTGAAGCCTGGAGAGCGAGAGTTTAAAATGTGGGCCCATGGACTTCTGCTCCAAATTCCTCCCCTAACAATGTTACTGATCCTTCCCATCAGCTTTAGGATGCAGTGCTAGACAGAAATAAAGTTGCAGTACTTGAATCTTCTGCCCTAATTAACTTGTGGTGTGATTTGTAACTTGTGCTTTTGCACCCCACTTCCTCCAGTATCAAAACTTGTCAGGCAACGAGATGATATTCCTTCCCCATCTTCCCCCCCCAAAAAAAAAACTTCAGAAAAATGGTTCTTGGCAATTTTAAGAGGAAGATAGTTCCTTTTATAGCTTTTCTTATCCTGTATAAGAAATACCTGGTAAATCTCTTCTGCTGTAGCTAGAACTTCATGCTTCTTGCTTTTTCCAGCAGTGAACTATGCAAGAAAGTAGATAATGGATGTTCTTAACCTGGCAAATTGATGTGCTCTGATTAAAGTTATGTGTGGAGGTTCTGCTTTGCCATCTCTTAATGTTGCTGAATTCACAAAATCAGACTTTCCTTGTCAAGGATGTTTTCACATTTCCTTTTTCTCTTCCTCAGAAGCAGTATGTTCATTTTCTGACCCCTGTAGGGTGATAAATATTTTATGGCAGATTAGCTACCTCATAGCATTTCTAATAAGCTGCTGCAAAACCAGTTTTCAGCCAGGCATTCCCCCCGCTTCCAGGCATAGCCTGGTTTATGACAAAGTCACCTGTTGCCACTTTCAGGGCTCAGAGGATGGAGAATGACATCTACCAGCCATGCAGGGATATGCACAGGGAAGTGGGGAAGCTCGGATATTGGTAATCTGGGGTGTTCAGAAGTAGGAACTGGGCCAGAGCCAGAAGCTTTATAGAACCAGGTAGGAATATATTGGCTAGAGCTGAGAGGAAATTTCTCAATATATGTATTCTTTTCAGAGAATACTTCTGAAATATGTATTTTTATCCAAACATTTTCCACCATGTATTTGTGGCAGCCATAATCTCCCCTGCCATGTCCCAGAATGATGGTAGACCTGGAGCCTTATGGAGGATGCAAAATGATATAGAGAACCTTCGGTCCTCCATATATTGTTGGACTACAACTCCCATAAGCCTTGACTACTGGCTATGCTGTCTTGGGTTAATGGAAGATGGGGTTCAGCAATATCTGGGGGCCTAATGGTTCCCCACTCCTGGCATAAACTTTCCTCTCCACACACTCTGGTTCCAGTCCTGATTGCCACCCCCCTCCTGATGCATTTTATTTCACCCAATAGGTGAAACGCAATCACACATTGTGTTGTTTGGCCTAGACAATAGTTTTATCATGCATGAAGCATGTGGCTGTATATATTTATAAAACCTCTTACATAACAAATTTATTCATTAGCTGGGGTGGAACTAGGAATGCATTTCTAAATCGCTTCACATATACCGTATTTTTCACCCCATAGGACGCACCAAATTTTTTTTAGGGGGGGGGAAATAAAGGGGAAAAAAATTATTTCCCCCCCAGGCACGGGGCAGGTGCGGGGGAAGCCCAAGCTTCCCCTGACCCCAGCCCCCAGAACAGCCTGCTATCCGCAAGCCTAGGGAGCCGCGCTGGTCTCCCCAGGCTTGCGGAGAGCTGCACGAAGCCCGGGCGCGCTCTTCAGCGCGCACCAGGCTTCAGAATGCAGGCAGCTCTGCGCAACCTTCGGGAGCCCGGCGCGGCTTTGCGCTGGGCTCCGGGGGGTTGCACAGAGCTGCTGGACGCCCGGGAGCGCAGGCAGCTCTACGCAACCCTCCGCAGGGTTGCGCAGAGTTTCCTGAAGCCTGGAGAGCGAGAGGGGTCAGCGAAAGCCTGCATTCGCCCCATAGGACGCACATACATTTCCCCTTCATTTTTGGAGGGGAAAAAGTGCGTCCTATAGGGCGAAAAATACGGTATGTGTAAATTATGGTGGGTTATAGGCCATCAGATTGAGAGTTCACAATAGATCAATGCTTTTACTACTCATTAACAACTCTGATTCTATGTGCAAAATTGTGGCCCACATGCACTTGGGAATCATTAAGCCAGGATGGGTGATTTTGAATATGCACCGCAGAATCACACTATAGATTTTGTAATGTGACAGATGCAATATTACACCCTTATTTGTTAATTAACCCAAAACAGCTACACCCAGAATTCCATACTCTGCACATCTCTATTTGTAGCACCCTGCTTGTGGTTAACGCTTAGCTGGAATGAAATATTCAACGCAGCAATAGAGAAATTAAAATAATAATTTATTTGTCAGACAAATAAATGAGAGACACAGTGGTATATGGTTACCAAAGCTCTGCCCACTCCAGCCCTGATGGCCAGCACTTATATTTCCTCAGCCCAGCCCCCTTGCTCCTCCTTTGGCTGCCTCTGTCCAATCAGCCTGGTTGAAATTCCTATTGGCTGTTTGCTAGAACCAATCATAAAAGATACACCCATTTCCTATTACCTTTTATGGGAGACAAAGAGCTATATTTCCTTCTATCCATAAATGGCAGACAAGTAGCCATATATCTTATATTTGCCTCAACCAGGCACCTTAATTACCAGATAACCTTTGGCCCCTGTTGCCCCTTTATTCCAAAACAAATGGCTAAAACAGATGGCTCATGGTATTAAATTCTGTCTAAACAGAGATCTTGGGTTCACCTTCTCACACACCATCAATGGAATAAGAATCTAACATACGAATCTAACATTTCTTACTTTCTAAATCCTTTGCTTAATTACGTTTAAGCCAATATATTTCATACATAACATAGATAGATTTTTAGAAGAAAAGGAACAGTTTCAAAGTAAACCTCTTCAATTTACAACTCCCTTTCCCAGCCAGCTGCTGTTCTTATTAGCTCTTGCCCTTTAACCTTATGAAAATATGGCTCGAGTCTAATGGGAGGCACCTGGTATTATTTTCTGTTAAACAATAAACCTTACTATTTACCAACTCTTAATTAGTGTTTTTGCAGCTTGATTGTATTCTGTAATTTGTATGGTCAATGTAACCTTTGCTCCCAGCCTGTAATTCCCTTTTACAACTTTGAGGTACTGCTATAAATCAGGGGGGCCCTGTTCAAGGAGATAAACAACTGCCAAAGTACTTAGCCAGCTGCTTTATGCCTGGCATGAAACATACAAACATTTGCAAATATATTTTTTAAGCTCATTTTAAAATACAGGCCTTGATCATAAAATACAGGCCTTGATCAGATGCCTCATATTCTCTATTCATTTTACTTTATTTGTTGAATTTATAGCCTGCCCTTCCTCCCAAGGGAGCCATTTATGTTGGGCATGTACTTAAGATGATTTTCTGGGCTAGGTACTCACAATCACATAGCTACCAAGTGGAAAATGGGTAGACCAACTGAAGCAATATTATCAAGTCCTTTGTCGCATGCCCAGGCAATCTGACTTGCTGCCCTCTTATCCCCTGTGACAATTAAAGAAGGACTTGGACAAGCATCTTGGGTTCAAATTAGGCCACAGCTTTATTGATTACAGGTGCCCTGTATATTATATGATATACCCAATATCACACAATGATTTGCCACCACCACATGCCTAGTTACCTTGTACGCTGTTCAATCAATTCCATCTATGATCCAAGATACTTCTGCAGACCAAGATAATATGTGTATGCACACAGACACACACACACAAAACGGAATGCAACCACAATGCTCCTCTAACTCAGCAGTGTTAATCAATTGCTTCCCACCCAAAGCAATGTTAGTGAAAACGGCTGTCATTTCAAACGAACAGGATCCCAAAGGCAAAGAGGTGGGACCTTCTCATGGCTCCCAAGATGTGCAAGAAGATTTACTATTTATATATTTTCTTTCTTTAAAAAACAAATGGAAGATTTCCTCCATCCCCTAAATCCTAGGAGCAAAGGACTGCTGCTTTCTGCAGTAAGATTAAGAAAACTCCCACTTTCTTGTAAAGGAGTATAATTGTTAACCAGGGAACAACTGCTTTCTTAACTTCACCAGTCTAAAAACATCCATTAATGTGTCTCCTGTGTTGCAAACAGTATCATTTAGGGAGCCTACTTTCCTGCTGGGAATGGCTAAATCCTCTTTTACAACATTTGAAGATACTGCTAAGTGTAGTTAACTAACAGCCGAGTCATCTCCGTTGTATGGGCAAAACACACTCATGTTCAGCTGCGTTTCTAAAAATACATCCATCATGCTTGTGGAGAGGCCTTTAAGGTTTCTTTTTAGCAAAGTTGTAACTTCTTTGTTTTAATATATACTCATCATCACATGCCCTTAAAGGCGCAAAATATCCTGCATTTATTTATGTGTTGTTGCTTTTAAAGAAAAACTTATTCACAACTCAAGTATGAGCTACTTCCCAATGCTTTTTGTTCTCAGGTTTTAAACAAGTCCTTATCTGTACATTCCCATTCTGTCCACGCTTCTGTTCCTCTGAAGATCCTAAAGCTTCTTGACCTCTGAACATTCAAAAGGCTTGTGTAGATACATTGTGCTGTAGGGCTGATCTCTCTAGAGATATGCACTACGTTTATACCTGAGTAGCCGCTGAGCTAAGATTTGCCCTACCACCTCACATATATGTACTGGGGTCTTGTGCTTGGTTTATAGTTCCTTGCAGAGAAATGCTCATGTAGTCACATACTTCACAGCTTTAGAAACTCTTACCATTGCCAAATTGTAGATAAATGACTTCTGGCAGCTTGCTTTCCTTTAACTGACTATAACAGGAATGGGGGAACTGTGGCCCTTGAGTCCTTATTGGACTAAAATTCCCATCACCCCCTAACCATTGATCATATTGGCTGGGTCTGAATGGAGTCTAAGAACATTCAGAGAGCCCCAAGTTTCTCACCCCTGTTGCAGAATGTGAACTATGGAAGTCCTTCAGATGTTGTTGGACTCCAACTCCCATCTTCTATTGGTTATACTGGCTGAGGCTGATGGGAGTTGGAGTCCAACAATAGCTGGAGGGACACAGTTTCCCCTCCCCTATTCTATACTCTACAGATTAAAGAAGTTCAGTTAACATTCATACACTAGTGCCCAGGATTTAAAACTAATTTTGGATAAATAATAAACACACATTTATTTATTTATTTATACAATCATATCCCGCTTTTCACTAATGTAGGTCTTAAAGCGGCTTGCGGCAATAAAATATACAAAATTTAAAAACCAGGGTGGTGGGTGGAGCCCTTTATCCCTGTGAATGAACATCCCCTAGTATGTAGCATTAGCAGAGATTTTGTATTTGCTGATAATTAAAAAATAAAATAAAAATCAACGATGGTATGGCTTCAACTGCTGTTGGTATCTTAACTATCTGAGGAGGCAGAGTTTTCTTGAAGTTTGTCAGCATCAATACCCTTCAATCCTTCACCTCTGGGGTGACTGAGAGGGACTCCCTCTCATAACTATCAAATAAGTATTCCATTACAAGGGAAAGCGGGCCCCCTTTTGCAACTGGGTAACATCAGCTGGGTAGGCCTAGAACAGATTTCATTAATAGGGACACAACAAGCTGCCTTACACTGAGTCAGCCCATTAGTTAATTTCACCCAATATTGTCTACACTAACTGGCAGTAGCTGTCCAGGGTTTCACACAGGGTGTTGCCCCCCAGCCCCACCTGGAGATGTGGGGGATTGAACCTGGGACCTCCTGCATGCAAGGCAGATTCTCTACCACTGAGCTATCTGATCCATCACAAATAAATGAACAACAATAATAAATAATTAGGTTAGATTGGTACATCAGTCACTCACTGGGGATAAAGGAAGAGTCGAAATTGCAGTATGCTGGTGCCCTGAGCATCTGGTCTCAACTGGGATGAAGAAGAAACCTCCAACCACCCTTCTCTGTGTTTATCTGGATAAGCTTAATCTACTTGTAGACACTCTCTATTGATGACAGCAGATTCCAGGAAGAAGAAACTACCTGCTCCCCACTATTGTTGCTGCTTTGGAGCTGTTAAAGAGCCACATATAATATCTGGGTTGCAACCTTGCAGTCCTAATTACATGTCTTGAACTCCCATAGATTACAGTGACATCTACGCTCATGTAAGTATGTGCAGAACACCAGCCTTAATGGTTAAGTAAAGAATGAAGTGGCACCGTGCACTTAAAGCTCTCGCTTTCAACAGCCTGTATTTAAACTTTCCTGTGGGAAACTGAAGGACTGCACTGCTGGATATTTAATTTGGAGGCTTACAGGGCCTTAAAATAACCTTTGAAAAGGGAAAAAGCAGAAAAAGCACAGGAGTTTAGTTTTATTACATTAGGTCCCCTGTCCCTTGGCACAAAAAAAGGTCCTTTATACCAAAGTCCTAAGCATTGTACAGAGTTTTGCTGTCATCTCCTTCTGTAAAATGAAGGGATGCTAGTGGACCATAATGAAATCCTAGCACATCAGATGCCGCCCCAGCTGTCGCTTTGCTGTTCCTCAACATTGTGGGGGCTGAGGAACAGGACTGAGCATTCATGCATTTATCCACAAATGTAACACCTTAATAATTAACTTTTCAAAGGAGCAAAACTGCTCAGGGGTGGGGGGAGGTGTCTTGGCCATCATGGATGGTGTCAGCCAATCAGAACTGTGCACAGCCAGCTGCTGCCAAAAAGGGCTTTTGTTCAAAGTGGAATTCCAAAGAAGAATAAATGCATTCAGGTGGAATGAGCATATTGCCAGATTGACCCACTTTGGGTTGTTTCTGACCAAATCATACTTGAAGTAGAAATCAATGGACATGAGTAAATTAAGTTCATTGATTCCAGTGAGTCTACTCTAAGTACAACTTAGACTAAAACACTCTGTACAGGCAGGGCCTATCTTCTTCCAAATATACACCAGAGGCACTTATCTGAGTCTTACCATAATAAGTTCCCAGCTTCCATCTTAGTCTCCAAAACAGTCTTGTTATCAAATGGCTCCCTTTTCTTGCAAAACAAGGTTTCAGGTTTCAGCAGGGATGGGAGCATGCAGCGGCAACCACTTCTGACCAGCACAAAGGTGATGACCCAAGTATGGTATCTGCTCTACATTAAGGGCTTCTCAGGTGAAAGTGGCTTTTGGAGCAGGCCTGAATCGCTGTACTTTCTCCCCAAATATAAACTCAGTTCCGAGTTGGGGCCTTCATACTAACTACGCTTAGAGACTCTGCCAGAAATTATCCTGGGTTGGATCCTGCTGTTCATTTTGCCTGCATCCTACAGCTGGATAGAAGCTGAAGGCAAAGGATGGAATCACAGAATTGTAGCTCCTGTTGTTCGTTCCCAGCTCCTGCCCACCTAGCAGTTCGAAAGCACATCAAAGTGCAAGTAGATAAATAGGTACTGCTCCGGTGGGAAGCTAAATGGCATTTCCGTGCGCTGCTCTGGTTCGCCAGAAGCGGCTTAGTCATGCTGGCCACATGACCCGGAAGCTGTCTGCGGACAAACGCCAGCTCCCTTGGCCTATAGAGCGAGATGAGTGCCGCAACCCCAGAGTCATCCGCGACTGGACCTAATGGTCAGGGGTACCTTTACCTTTACCTAAGGTACACCAAGGGTCATCTAGTCCAACCCCCTGCCATGCAGGAATCTCAGCTAAAGCATCCATGACAGATGGGGTGGTGGGAAGGACACAGTGATATCTATCCAGTAGCACTACAAGTAAGTATGAGGAAAATGTGGTGCCATGCTATGCTTGCCACAATACATTAGAAGTGACAGACTTCTCAAGTAGATTTATTTCCAGTGACTTATTCATTGAATAGGATGTTTCATTTTCATTCTAATTTTCTTCTTTCAAGTTGACATTGAAGTTTGCCTGATTCCAAGGATATGCCTATTTTACTTTGTATATTGAGAAACCGTGAGCTGATATTGTTCTTCCCCAAAGACTCTTTCTCTATATCGCTAAGGCAACGAGCCATTCTTGTTCTGGGTAATCTGTTTAGCTTTTCGAATTGCTGCTCCCTTATTTTGTGGCGCCTTTCACAGTTCAGGCTTGAATACAGTTTTGTTTGTAGCACTGGTTTCAGTGAAACTGCTATACTCCTTTTTAAAATATTTTCAATGAGAAGTCAAAAAACTCCTTTGTGGAAACCAAGTTTCACACTGAAAACCCTTCTAATTAGAATACTTCAGCCACAATCTACAAACCACAGGCTCTAGCTCTCACTAGTTTTTATTTGTTATTACATAGAATATTATGAATTGTATAGACAGGCTTAAGGCATCCTACAAGTAAATAAGAATAAACTCTTTGTTGTTGTTTAGTTGTTTAGTCGTGTCCAGCTCTTCATGACCCCATGGACCAGAGCACACCCGGCACTCCTGTCTTCCACTGCCTCCCACAGTTTGGTCAAACTTATGTTGGTAGCCTCGAGAACACTATCCAACCATCTCGTCCTGTGTCGTCCCTTTCTCCTTGTGCCCTCAATCTTTCCCAACATCAGGGTCTTTTCCAGGGAGTCTTCTCTCCTCATGAGGTGGCCAAAGTATTGGAGTCTCAGCTTCAGGATCTGTCCTTCCAGTGAGCACTCAGGGCACTTCAGAATGGATAGGTATGATCTTCTTGCAGTCCATGGGACTCTCAAGAGTCTTCTCCAGCTCCATAATTCAAAAGCATCAATTCTTCAGTGATCAGCCTTCTTTATGGTCCAGCTCTCACTTCTGTACATCACTACTGGGAAAACCATAGCTTTAACTATATGGACCTTTGTCGGCAAGGTGATGTCTGCTTTTTAAGATGCTATCTAGGTTTGTCATTGCTTTTCTCCCAAGAAGCAGGTGTCTTTTAATTTCTTGACTACAGTAAATTACAGCTAAATTTGCACACACACACAACTTCCTATAGAATTAAGAGCAAGGCATCTAGGGTAAATAGAATCACTATAAAGCCAAATTTAAAGCTATAAATAGTATTTTATAAATTATATTATATATCCCCTAATAATGGGTATGAATTTACTGGATCTTACACTTTACCCTTCCAATAAACAGACTCCATTTTTTAAAAAAACTTATTTTTCTTTCTGCCTTCTCTTATTCTGATCAAACACTCCAGCTCTCTATGGGACTGGTCTTGAGAAACATGTTTTGAGATTAGATTAGAAAGATACGCTTCTGTTGTTCTTGCTGTTCTGTTGGAGATAATTCTCAGATCTGATTGGCTCTTAGGTAGGGCAAGAACAGGCACAGAGCTCACTTGACAGCAGAGAGTTGTCATGCGGGTGCCCTGAATGAATACATCACAAGGCTCGATATGCAGAACCACATGAGGAATTCTGGGGGAATTTAGCCTTGGGCCACCTCAAAAAGGAATGCTGAAGGGAACAGATGCTCTACCACAGAAAGTGAAAGATCTGCTGGTGGCTTAACCAAGATTGTGCTACCATCACACTCCTTACACCTTGCAAGGTTTTCTTTCTTTCTGCCTATCAACCCACTGTTCTTTTGCTGTATCTAGCACAAGCAGAAATCCCCATGAATTTCCAAGGAGTGGATTGGTTCCCTCCCTTAAAATGAATGGGGAGCGTATTCTGGGCAGCGGAAGGACACACATAAGCAAAGGGGTCCCTGTGCCTGAAACATTGGGGTATTTCTCAATATATGACAATATGTGACACTGCTGATGACAATTTTCAATTTTTGAAGCATAATACAGACAAGGCAGAGGTGTTTGTGCTTAAGCATAAGTGGGTGTAGTAAACTTCTGCAGCCTGTTCTGGATGAGGTAGAACTGCTCTTGAATAATGAGGTTCATAGTTTAGAGATCCCCATGAATTTTGCTTCTGAATGCCCAGAGAGAGACTAGATTGGGAGACTTCTGTCCAGCTTAGGCAGGTGTGCCAACTGTACCCATTTTTAGGAGGTTGGACCTAGCCACTGTAACACACTCTTTAGTTACATATTACTGAACTAGTGGAACACACTTTACATGGGGCTGGAGCATGAATTTAAAAGGAAGCATTTGGGCTTGCATATTGTTTCTGGAATTGTGAATTAGGTAGGTTCACCTTTGAGTGCAAACTGCATCAAATTTCTCCTCCTTCCCTGATGCGAGAGGGGTCCTTATTTCTATGATTGATGGCTTTCATTTATCTGCTTGTGTACTTTCGCTTTTTGTTGTTGTCAGTTGTTCCTAATTCTTTCAATTGTTCTAATTGATTTTACAGTATTCTTTGAACATTGTTATCTATTTTGACTGCTGCCTTAAAGAAGATTTATGGGATAAAATTTAAATAAATAAATAAATAAATAAATAAATAGGGTTGTTAGGCCTCCTTCTGGGATAGTATGTGCCAAAGAAAGAAACAAGTTGCAGTGTAGAATTTTATTTGCCTGCTCTGGAGTATCTTTCAGAGACTTACAAGCTTCATTCTCATTCACATATTTATGCTTTTTTAAAAAAGCATTTCCAGCCAAAATGGAGTGTTTTCTATCAATTGGATGTTACCAAAATAAATATTTCCCTAGAAGCAGGAGGACCCATCATAACTTTGAAATAAATCAACTCTTTCTCCCATTTGAATGAAATGGAGGGGTAATTTTTCTGGTGATCTCACACAAACCAATATTTTCATTCTAACATCTTTGCTGAACAAGGTTTAACATTCTAGTAAGCATGATGCACTATTGAAAATAATAAATTGCTTACATTAGCTTGGGGCTAACTTTCAACTTTCTGTTGCTGCTGTTTTTCTTATAATTTTCAGA